AAATAAACGAATTACAATTGAGCACGGCAAATTTGCGACTCACTTTTCCACGAAGAAATTCAAGCGGCTTTTTGGTTCGCTTTCTCGTTTCGAGGGCGATGTTCTTTTTAAATGAGAATCGAAAAAGATCCATTACATGCTAGAGTCAATTTCAATTTGATTTTTTAATAAAATCAGTTGAAAAAACGAATTGAAACGATTTGAACGATTGAATTTGAAAACGCCTTGATATAAGTTTGAAAGATCTTTCAAAGATCATCACTTCACTTGTAAATCATGATGAAGAAGAAAAAAACCGTTTGATTTGAAGACGATTTGACATGTTTTATACCTATTAGTATCGAGCGGAATTGTTTAAGCATGTGCCTTTTATGTGTGCTGGCTTTTTTTTTATGACAATCTCAATCAATTAAACGTAAAGCAATTCTGAATTAATACGCTTAGATAGTTTAAAGGCGAAAAAATAAATGCAGAAATGGTCACGTTCAGTAATTTGACTACGAGAGAGATAGAGACCGTCTTACATTGTTTCATAAATGTATGAATTTAAAAGAAAACGAAGAAGACTTTCGTTAATTATTTCGAAAAACAAATGAAGGAACCGGTGCGTGTGGAAATCAGAACAAAAGACAGCAACGAATTCAGGAAACAAAGGTGAGAAAGAGGAGAGAAAGAGAGAATCTTCGACTCGGCACAGATTTACATACGACGAGTACACAAATGATCGAGGGCTCGAAAAAAGAGCATGGTTCAATGTTTGTGTGTGTGAGTGTAAATATTGCTGCTGTATAAATGAATAATAACACACGCGTATCTAAAGGGATAAATTATAACAATAAAAATGCAAATGACAGTTTACTGACCGCGCCAAACACGTTTCGTTTGCCTCATAGTTGTTTTGTTCATTTCAATCGTTTTTTATTTCGTTCGTTCGTTCTTTTCTTCGTTCTTCACCGTTTCGTTTCCATTCTTCGTGTTGCGATCAAGATCTCTCTCGCTCTCTTTTCTCTGTTTCAATAGCAGTGTTCTTTCCTACCATCCTCGCGAGCTCGTGCGCGCACATACTCCGTTTCAAACCATTCTTTGCCGTATTTTATGGTCTTTTCGACTCCTTCGTTCGTTTTAGCTTTCAATTTTTATGTCTTCTGCGTTCTATATATACATATATTTCGTTCATTCAATGAGCATATCTTTATTCCTTTAATTTCGACTGAAATTGAATGATCTGGATTTTTTTTTCTTCGTTTTCATTGTATAAATATGTTAAATATGTATTTGGGTCTGAAATTGAAACGTTTCCCTTTCGCGAAATGCTGTGAATCAATGTATGAGCGTGTGCACGCACTCACTCATTCCCATATTTGTGGAATTGTTGATGCCGGTGCATTCGACATTATTTAACATATGAAATTGCAATATATATAAGCGAAAAGAGAATTACAATCGATTGGGAAAGTGTGTCGTGTTATTTGATCGCATTTTTTTGCACGTACATTCGTTATCAGTTACAATTCTTACGTGTGTTTGTGTGCACCTTTTTTCGGCATTTTCAACCATGAAATATTGCTTATACTTATTACACATCATTCTTGAGGCGTTTGCTTTTCGAATTAATAGAGGAATCATTCAATGGCATCTTGGATTTTAGTTTTGAAGCGAGAGACTAGCTCCAACCATTACGACAGACAAACAAACAAATATCAAAAACTAAATCTTAATATGATCCATTCCGTTAGTATTATGTGTGCGGATTACTTTCAAAAATTATTTTTGAGTGATAACCACTCTTGAAAAGCCTCGCATTTAAAAATGATCAGATCACACAAAATTCAAAGCGAATTTTCGCCTTTGCTTGACTTGAAGCTTTGCTTGACTTTAAATGTGAAGAGTAAAACAATTGAAAAATCTTGAAATTCAATGTGAATGGCATTTTTTTTCCCATTTTCTTCATCGATTATTCTCGTTTGAGAACACTCTGGCCGTTGTCTGTCGGCACTGGTAGTAAAGTGTAATGCATTCAAAATGACAATATATTTAACGATCGCGGCAAAATAAATTTTGTACACCCACTGTGAATGAATCTATTTTGTATAAGCGAGTGCATTGCGACGGCCCGACAGAACCAAAACCAACACTGTCCAAATCGAAAAACGTTTGAACATCTTAACGATGTTAGTTTGTTGCATTTGCACATTTCGGAATAAAAATCGATCGAAATGCGGTTTTATGTTTGACATAACGAAAATAAAAACAAAAACAAAAGAATTGCAAACCATGTAAAACACCGCAAGTAACAATTGCGAGTGCACGAATGGCGCACGCGAACGCTCGTACCACAGGCAGTAAATGCAACTCATAACACATAGACAAGGCAAACGAGTGAGAGACAATTTTGATGCACTTGTATCTCCATATATTGACTGTGTGCATAGTGTGCGGATGCATCGATTATTTAACCAAAGAGTAACATCTCTTTTTTTTTGTTGTTGCTGCAATTCTTCGTTGTTTTTTTTTTTCGTTTTCTTCAAGTGTGTGTCGTTGGCCTCAAGAAACATACATTCATGCATTTCTCTTGGCTACTAATTCGATGGAAAAAAAATTGTTGCATGGCCGGCCGGCCGCCGCCGCTGAGAACAAACATATATATTCTGTTTAGCACACAGACTTGATTCAAAACAACGAAACATTTTCGTTTGACTGCCGATTTAAAACGCAAACACAATGCGATTATTATTATTATTATTTACTATTGCACACTGGAAACATGAACAAAATATATCGAGTTTTGTGCAATGCCTCTGACGAAAATTACTTAGTTACGGCTGCTCAATTCGTTTTCGGCTGGCGAGTGAGAGTTTTGCTATATGCATTGTGTGCGTATTTATGTGTGTGTGGTTTGTTTTTGTTTTGCAAAAGAATCTTTTATCAGTTCATGTGGAAAGTGAATGAATTTTCGTTTGTTAAAACAATAAAAGCGACCACAAATGTTTCAGCTGCTCCGATAATGAGGTATGATAAAAATGATAATTACCGGACTGACGAGAGAGAGACAAAGTAAAAGGTCTAAAACAGACACACAGGGAGCATTGAAAAAAAAACCCACACCAATCAGAGGACATGTACAAAGAAAGTAATTACCGATTCTCATCCGAAACGAACGATAAAAAAGAACAAGAAGCGCAGAAAATCGATTCGAGTTTAAAACATACATTATTTACTGTGTAAATGTATCAACATACGCATAAATAACACCGCTGCATGCAAATCATGCTTCTTTCGTTCTTTATTCTCTTTCTCTCTCTCTCTCTCTCTCTCTCTCTCTCTCTCTCTCTCGTTTTTTATTGTTTTTACCATTCCGTTTTGATTTCTATGTTCGTGTTATTGTCGAAACAAAAAAAAAATATGAATATTTTTTCAGGCAATTCTTCTTTGATGATGAACCATACTGATGGATGCCGAGCAATTTACTTTGGCAAAATGCGTATTGCGATTATCATCCATGTGTTTGCCAATCCGTTTCGATTCGAAAGCATGAAGAAATAAAAAAAAAACGTGAAAATGATATGGTTTGCGTGAAACGCAACCCTAAATATAATTATCGGGGACTGTACGTTGTTCTTCAAATCGAAACTTTTTCGAAGCATATGACGACGATCATGACTCTTTGATTGATTGAAATGTGAGCAAATGTGCGAGCAGCGCGTAAGCCATTTAATAACATAAAACAACTTGCCAAACAAAATGTGAATGATTTTGAACTACTGTGTATCTTCCGCGTACGGTTCTGTTAGTCATTCACGATTTTACGATGTTGCACTCGCACCAAACCGGTCAAGTTGTTTGAATCAAGTGGCCATGCAAAATATCATATTTAGACCTCCAAAAACCATTTCAATCGCTTTTTTATTTAATTCTTTTACTTTATTTGGCCTCTGATCTTGATTCTAATGACTTAAAAAAATGCAATCGTAAAGAATACGAGAAAACATTTCATCAGAAACAATGATACCGGCTATTATTTGACCCGTGCTCTTTGGCCGGTATTTGGGATATTCGAAAAATAAAAGTCAAACTTCAAAAGAAAGCGCAAAAAATGATTAGATGCATATCTTTTCGCAGATTTGGAGTTGACATTTTGCACTTTTTTACAATTAATGTGAAATAGATTAAAAATTGAATATTCGATTGAAACACACATTTACAAATTATGTAATTTATTATGTTTTGTGTGTTCTATTTGTTCGATTTTTCTCTTGTGTGCTTGCAAATTTTCAAAACAAACGGTTGCTGTTGTTGTATTTCGTTCCGCTTTGCATTTTTCTCTGTCACTCTTATGGAGTCGATTCTCTTCCCTAATAATAATGTAATCTACTATCAAAAAGCTATTGAAGCGGGAGCACGTACGCAAAGGAAATATCGCGAAATGAATTTGAAAGAGGAACGATGGGAAAAAAACGAAGAAGAGAATGAAATAGCATGACATTTCTTCGTACTTGTGTTTCATTTCATACTATCGTCGTCATGCTTTATATCGCTTGCTCGCTCGCTTTCTTTTGCTCTGATATTCGCATTGAACACTATCTGCAATCGCACTCAATATCAATACAAAAACAAACACGCGCTCAAATTATAATAAAAAAAAGCAGCATAATCATTTTTACAAGGTTCTAATTGTTCATACGCTCGACTATGTGAAATTAAATACCGTTATGTAATTATAGATTAAGGTGTTTGCGATGCGCGCACACAATACACACAGTATCTATCTGCATGTGGACCGTGGACTGAAAATATAATGTAGAAATATCAGCCTTTGAGTTTTCTGTTCGTCTCATCGTTCGGATTTTTTTTTTTTTTTTGCCTACTATGTGCTTTCCCGATGATTATGACGAGATTACATGATTTTTGATACAAACATACACACACATACACTCTCATACGGCAAATTGATTGTAGTTACTATTGATATCGGCAAACACATACTAGAAGTAACTACTCACCTTTTACGCTACAGCTCCAGAAAATTTCCTCTTGTCGTTTGCCGTTTCGTGTGTCACAAACTGATTTAATGTTTTTTTTAATCAATTGTTCAATTGAACGTTTTTTTCGATCTTTTGACTTTTTTTTTTGAAAAAAATTCACTAATAAACAAATTTTGGTTTCTTGTGTTTGCGTTTCGCAAACTTTATTGTTCAATTAAGAACCAGCACGAGCACATCAACTATGCACAAAATGTCAAAACACAATTTTTGTTTTGTTTCTTTGGAGTTTAGTTTTCACTCAACGCTTTGTATTCGGCTTTATTTTGCACGATTTTTCAGTTTTTTTTTAGATTCGAAAAACTCTGTCAATTCTTAGCTGGAACAGTATAAGTCACAAATTGAAAAACTAGTTTTTTCGTTTATTGTTTTTCATTTGACTACAATTTGCTCTCGATTGTTTTCTAAACGATTTCCATAATTCTTTACAAGTTTTTTGCACCAAATGTTTCCATTGTTCTTCTTTTTTTTTTAAAAAAAATCTCTCGCTATGGTTGGATTTACATTATTGCCGGGATTATGCCACACGTCAGAAAGAATTTCAGTGATATCGCCTATTCTGAAATGGAGAATTGCACGCTCATTTTTTAAACACTGGCTGAGATTCGGATCATTGATCGCTCGATGTTTATTATTTGTAACATGGAAACGAAAAGTTGGAAAACATGGTTTGAAAAGTCAGAAGAATGGATAAAATTTGGGAAAAAGCATTAACTTAAATTTCGACTAAAACCAGAAGTCGCGGATTCTTTCAACAAAGAAATAAAAAAAAATGATCTTATGAATCATCGATCAGGAAACTGAATAAAAATAAATACGATGAATTTCACTTTTAATCGAATCAATAATGAAATTGACATAGAAAATTTGTGTATATGTCATGTAGAAGCGATTGCGAAAAACATTTCACCTGTCATATGCATGAAACTAATTCACTTGTAACACGTTTGTGCACAAATTACCAACATAAGTTGAAATTTACGATTTTTCGGTTTTCTTTCTATCGAATGAGAGAAGCAAATACATTCAGAGCATTTTTAATAAAACAAAAAAAAAATGGAAAAGATGAAATCGCGAAGAAAAAGCCTCAAAATAGAATGATTTATATAGTGGATGTAGTGTCGGTTAAGTAGAAGCTTGTCATTTGATTTGAACTTTGACACATAACCAAGCATATAATCATTTTTTTAATTCTTCACTTTTGTTGGTTTTCTGATTCATTTAAGAAATTTTAACGATTTTTTCATTTTTTCATGGTCGAACGTAAACGTGCAGAAAATATGAGCCATTTTATTTTTCAAACTAATTTTCCAATATTTTGACAAACATTCTTTCCGATGAATATCAAACACAAAGTTTACATCACATAGCGATCGTAAATCAACCGGAATTAAATATGAGAATAAGCTAAAACCGACAAAACAGTTTTTTTTTAAATAAAGAAAACCGAGAAATGGTCCAAAACAGTCAGTAAATATTTATGGCATGCAAATCCAGATCATAATAGACTCAAACAAAGTAGAAAAAAAAATCACTTTATGCCATTAACTATTTATTTTGCCGCCGAAAATATTTCTTTTCATTTAAAAATCACTCAAAATTTAAATAATGATTATTCAATTACACGACACTATGAATTCGATTGTCCGATTAAAAAAAAACGGTAATTTTTTACTCGAAAATTTCGTTTCAAAAAAAAAATAAACAGCGAGAAAAACAGATGCCAGCAAAAAAAGAGAATTATTTTGTTCCTTCCGACATACACCGTGAATATATCAGTGTAGACTGTGAGAGCGCCAAGCACACGTGTGATCTGCTTCCACGCTATCAATCTATTGTTGTGTTACTGATTTGATTGTTCGGAAATTCGGAATCTTTCTCTCGGCCGCCTAGGCAACACACAGCATACGCACACAAACACGCTCTCTCGCTCTCTTCTCTCTCTCTCTCCCTCATTCGTTCACTCGGATACGTGGATGCGACGGCAAAAAGAAAAACTTGAGGGAGCGAGAGATGTATACAACAAATAAATACACACTACAACAACAATAACAAAACAACAGAAGGGAATAGAAAAAGAAGAAGAACGACGACACACACAAACAATAACTTTCTATATCGGCACAATCGACTTATGCGCAGCGCGGTTCAACTGCAACTGGGTAATATCCAAATGATATCATTGTTGGGATCCCCACTAAAATGTGCCACACACAACAAACGCAAATCGACTCTCTCTTGCCACTCTCAGCTCTTGCTCTCGCTTCACATTTTCCATTCACACACAATTATTTCGCTGTGTGCTTTTTTTTTTATTCATCCTCTGTTCACTCATTTTGTGAGCGGCTCTTGTGCCGCCGCTAAACACCGTTCGTTGTTATCTTCATCGTCGTTGTTGCCGTCATCGTCGTCGCAGCCGTAGTCGTGTGTTATTTTTGTTGCCGTTGCCCGTGTTTCTCGTCTATTATGTACGATGTGTGCTCGTTGTGCTATGCCTTTGTGTATTCTTCTCTCTGCATTCGGTTGTGGCTTTGTTGTTTTGCTTTCATTCATCCAGGCTCAGAAGTCGCGCTTGCCGTTCGTCGTATCGCAATACATACAGTTCATTTTTTCAATCGTCCTCGGCACATTGCTCGCATGTATATGTGCACGATGCCTCTGTTCGTATGTATGAATGTTACGCGGTTTTATATTCCTCTGTATGTTTGAAGCAACAAACGGAGGCTGCGTATGTAACACAAATTAACGAACGACTATTGGCTCGCCCAGTGTTGAGCCTGTCAAATTAATGGCAATGTTTTTACTTTAATTTTTAAATTTCTTATGTCAAAGGACACTTTTCATAGTTCAATGTTTATAGCCAAAAAATTCGTCTTTTTGCACTGCTTTTCACTTGAACCACAATTGTTTTTTTTTTTTTTTTTAATTGTCAACAATGTGATTTAATTTATGCAAAACTAGACACTCGAACTATAAGAAATTATTTGAGTGGGGGGTCAACTGTGATGTCCTTTATTGAAAGTGCATGTCTCTTTGGATTTGTTTACTACATGTGTGCATTTCTAATAGAGACTATTGTAGCAATATCGGCGATGCGTTCTATTGCCACATGTCTCTTCACTTCACTTCGGGGAATTTTTCATGATCTTTTACTTTTCCGTCCATACGTAGTGTGAAGGGAAAAGTATTGTAATGGGACATCAATTTAAAAATTCTTGAAATGGTCGGAAAGGACCTTTACGACTTTGTGATGAAAGATTCATCGATTTGAAGCCAGGTTGTTGTATGCCTGTTCCGCGTCGTTTTTTTTCACCAATTATCTCTTTTCTAGTGATAGTGTTGTTAAATCTGATTTTATAGGATGGTTAGGATTATTGAGGAATTGATACCATTTGATTTTGGACCAAATTGATCCATTCCATCATGGTCTCTCATGATTTAACACGATTATTTAACCAATTTTCAGCCTATTTTTTGATCACCATTGAACATGATTATTTTGATTGAACATCATTGTCCACCATTGTCGAACATAGTTAAAATACTAACAATGATAAATGTTTTTTGCAGCTATACTACGCAGTATCTGACCGAAGCTTTAAACATAACATTGAAGGAAAGAGGAAATAAACAATTAGACGGAAAAGTTCGTCTTAGAGTAAGACTTTTTATTTAGTTTTTACGACTTTTTGGCCGTCTTCAACTTTTATGCCTTTTCATCTATTGCTTTCGATTCTCATGCAATTCAAACACAATGAATTGCACGCAATTCTCTCTCTTCCTCTATTTCTACTAAAAAATTCCCAGAAATGCATCGAGTCTAATTGAAAAAATGACAAACATTGAACATTTGTTTGTTCTCAAATTACTTTGCTATTATCGCCTTTGTTCTCACGCATCCAAATTCAAATGTACATGTGCACTTGAAATCTTATTGCGGATGCGTCGGTCAAATTTCGGGCACAAAAGTGCCCAAATACACATGCGATATTTTCATTCTTTTTCTCCATCTTTTCCATTTTCTATTCGGTCACACCATTTCTCTCTTTCTCTCCCTATTCTTCTCTTTTGCTCATTATGAATCAATTACTGAATCCTTCGCCCAACCCTCTTCCTAATTACTCCATCGACCTTTTCCTCTTTTTAAGTTTTTACTTTTCAGGGCAATTCGTAAGAAGCTCTCGTTCCAAACAGTCCGAAAGTGAACTCGGTTTAATTTTCTCTTGAAATTTAACCCTGAATGAACAAGTGGCACATATATGGCCCCAGCATTGAAACATGCAATCTTTTCTCATTTATTCAGCTCAAATTCAGCGTGTCTCATACCAATATAAAATTGTATGTAATTTATAACATACAAGACATGTTAGAGGCGCCAATTACACAAACATGTTAGACCGATTTCTCCAAGGGTGGAAACGTGTAGCTTGTGACACGGTTATCAATTTGCTGTGGACAGTTTGGACATAAAGTGTATGAAATGGCCGGTAGAGGGTGATAAAAAGAGTGAATTTTTCGCAATTTTTATTTCAATTGGCAGTTGGGGTCATATATGTCTCGCTTGCTAAACGAATTATGAAAATATGTTGGTAATGCAAGGGTTAAATAAAGTATATGTTTTTTTTTTAAATAAGGTTTTTTTCATTTTTCCGTATACGGAATATCACCACTCACCACACTATATCTATACAAATAGATGAGTTTTCATATAGTGAACGCTCGTGTGTGGCTGTGTATTTTCGTCGGGATCGATCACATGTGCTGCTGTTCGAAAGAATCAACAGCAGCAGCAACGGCGGCGATAGAAGCACATACTTGCTGTTGTTCGGTACACAAAAGGCGAAACAATTTGGAAAAGTATCGTACATTACACCGCATCAGGATAGCATTAGGATAAATCGGGACTTGTTGAACTGAGTAAATGTATGCAAAATTTCGATGTGAATTCTAATTTGGCTTTGTGTGTGCTAAAAGGCGTTCGTTTCATATGTGGTTTTCATAGTGCACAATATACAAAATTCTCTCAATTGAATAGAGAAAGAGCGAGAAAATGCATTTGTGACCGACTGAATACATGTACAAAGGCGGCGTATGTTACGCGCAAGAGCCACATTGCCGTAAGCATTACGAATGCGGCAACACACATGGCATTGTGTATCGGTTTTTTTTATTTCATCTTTTGTACATTGACAATATTGTGTATTACTTATGTAGAATACTGAACCGAGAGGATGAATCGAAAATGCTTTTGGCAATGGCTCGATCGTTATCTCACTTGGCTGACGAATATACTTCTCAGACTGTTCTACGCGATGTTCGTTAGACTGATTTCCATATGACACTGTCAGAATGACACCGATAGTTGTATAGTAGTGCGCACGGATATGTATTCGTTTTATTCTTCGTTTTATTCAAACAAAAGATCGACTCTTGAGTGGTGGAAGCGGGGAAATATTGACAACAAAAGTATAAATCAAATGCATAAACCGACGCCAGTTATATTACAAACCATTTTCGGAACACTGACACAACGAAAGTGATAATAACTATATGTACTCTCAAGCCATGTATTTGGAGATGTTTTAGTTTTGGAAGACATTTTATTCGGAATATGCAGCTATTTATGGTAGTTTAGTCTTAAATATTATAATTCTTCTTATTCTGATGTACATGCGAATTTCTCTCGATTAAAAAAAAACAAAGAAATGGAGTAAAAAACGTATGAAAAAACAATTAAAAACATGTTAACCATTTAATTGACATCGAAAAGGAATATTCCAAGTCTGTGTTAGTTCTCACTGATTTTTCGAAAAGTAATTTATCAAATAAGAAAAAGAAAAATAAATTTCCAATATTTAAAATTAATTGTTTTCTCAAATAAATTGTCTTGTTTTTGTTTTTATTGCAATTTAATTGTGCCAGGGTAATGAGTCAATTGGTATCTGATTCGGTTGCAGTCGCTATTGAAATTAGAATATATAGAATGATGATTAATGACGCACAATAAATCCAACAATGATAATAGCTGAATATAATTCTATGAACAAGACAATGAATAATGATTGTTTTTGCTATAATAATAATTGTGTTTAATCTGCCTATGTGATTCTAAGATTAAACGAACAAAAACTATAATCATATGAATGTCTGAGTGTGTGTGTTCTTGTTCAAATTGCCGAAAGCGAACCATTTCAGCTGCTTTTTTCTCCAGTGATAAAAATATGAAGAAAAAAAAAACTGTTCCCATTTGCATGTTGCACCTAAAAGGCATATGCTCATCGAAACTGTCATACATCTGCATCTACTTTACGCAATGTCATTCGCAAAAATTCGACTGAAAAAAAAGTAGCCGTTTTGGCTGCATATGAAAATCAAAACGTTCAATATATTGTCGAAGCGACATTTGAGTGTAGAAATGTTGTGAATCAACAACAAAACGACATAAGTTTATTCGCTCGTGAATGCTCGTTACTCGAATGGGAAAATTTTCGTACCGCAGCTATTCTTTCGTCTTGTTCTGTATTCTGTTGCTCAGTCTCAGTGTGTGTCGGATGATGCTGGTATGTATCGTGCTCTCCGGTTGTGCTGCATGTGCAAATGTGAATGTGAGGTAAACGCGAGTGAGTGTATGCGCGGCGCGCGTGTACGAAAATTTTTCTCTTCTCATCTCATCGCTTTCGGTTCGGCAGCTATACAGCAGTCAGCCAGCCAGCCGAGAGTCAGAAGAGATAACAAAGCATGTTTAGTAAAAACACACCCACCCAATGCTTATACGGTACACACACTTGTTCATTGTTCCGTTGTTATAGCAGCTCGATTCGGTCGATTGTTGTTTCGCTTGACTGCGTGGAATACATGTACGTGTGTGTTGGCAACCGCTTTGAATAGCTGACGTGAGAGTGAGACGAAGAGAATGAACGACAGAATCATTGGGGTTCGCTCTTGCTCTGTCTGTTTCGGTTGTATGTGCCTATGAGCGTGTACTAATGTGTTGTTTTCCATTGGTTTTGTTTCGTTCGTTCGGCTTTTTTGTTTCGCATTCTCTCTATGTGTACTGA